TCAGATAAATTATGAACATGAAAAAATGGATATATAAAAAGAAATACATTGAGAATTCGCTTTCTCTATATGTGATAAAAGTATCAATTCTTTCTCGGTTTATTCGACAAAAAACAACTACTTTCCGGGCTATAGGCCACAACGAACATTGAACTATATCTATTGAACACACACGATAAGAATTAGAAAAGAAAATCTTCTGAAGTTGAGAATTTGCATATGTATATGCACATATACATCATTCTAAATATTGAACAGGAAGCAACAACTTTCCTGGGTATTTGCCACGTCCAACATTGAATTATATCTGTTGAACATCCAAAGGGAGAGCATGAAAAATAAAAATCAAAACAGTCAACTCATCATACATCATTGTATTCAGAGAAAAAATTAAACCATCATGAGGCGTTTTCGGAAACTTACTACTCTGGGTTTTTAACTCGATCCAGAGAGGTCACGTGACAAAAAAACTCGAATCACCTACTCTTGCTCGTGTTCAACGTTTACGAACGTGTCTGATTAGGAACACATAAAAAGATTATTTCCCCTGTATAATAACATGAACGTCATTCGAAAGAAAGATTCAGTTCAGTTCTAGTGAAATATTTCAGTTAGTTCAGATTGAAAGAATATTAGTATGTACTCATGAGATACCCCCCCTTTTTTCTCTGTCTTTCTATTTTAGGAATTTTTTTTCATCTTCCGATTTTCCTGGAAATGACATCAACTCTCGATTTCCAAATGGAACAACCTTTATTTTATTCCATATCGGTTAGGGGATATTATATCGAATTCAATGATACTGGGTTCGATTGGGTTATTTCGAAGATTACGAAGATATTTGCATTCAATGTGTCCATAAGCTTAACGAGTGTGACATGAAGTCAAATCTACTGAGCATTACGGAAACTTCAAGCGCGAATATCTTCGTAATCGTTTGAAATAACCAAATCAAACATGGTATAAAATACAGGGTTATTCCATTTGAAAATCGAAAGTTGATGTCTTCTCCAGGAAAACCGAAAGATGATAAAGAAATCCTAAAACGTGAGAAAGTGCCCTTTAGTGAGCATATTCGATGATCCAAATCTCAGGAATATAGCTAGAAAACCAAAGGAGAAAAGGGGGGTACACTATGAGTCTGATGTGTCACCCGGTATGTTCACATGAGATTTTCACATTAAAATAGTATCTTCTTCAAGCTGTTGAAGTCCTGCTACAAAAAACTGACTCACCCTGTGCATTCGGAAATATTTTACTTTCCGGTAACATTTACTGACTTAATGAAGCCATCAATGTAGCCTCGATACTTTGCCCATAACCGACGGGCATTGTGACCTTTAAATGAAGAGGTAATTTCGTTTTGTGAGGTCTAGTCACGCTCGCTTCCCTCGTATACGTCTGTGATTTCGTGATTCCGAAAAAGCCATTCGAATGACACAAGCCAAAAATTATGCGGGATAAAATGAATGCGTACACATAAACACGGAAATTCAACAATCATGGGCGGACAAGAATCGAAATCAATAAAAAAATACGTCTCAGTATCAATGAGTAGGGTACTTTCTGGAGAAATACTGTCAGAAATTAGATTTCAACTTCATATATTTGAGCCAGTTTTACGAAATCCCTGTATAATTTTCTCAGCGATATTGGCTCACCCACATATTTGGAAACAATCGATTTATGCATAAGTTTTGAGAATTAGGAGCAAATTTCGATTTCCGTTTCCAATAAAATTGTTCATGAATTGACATTGTTCATCCATTCTCATATTTGATTCAGAAATAATGAAGCAAAATTTTCATTGAACATGAAAAAGTCATAAGGTACTATACTCGAATCATATATCATGATTTAGGAATCATGATGGTAGTATATTCCAGAGATGATCTTTACCATATAATTCCCCTTTTTAGTAGGGAACTGAGGATGACTTTCATATAGAGTCGAAACGTTGCCTCATTATCAGAAAATCAAAACTGTGAAGATTCAATTGTGGCATAACTTGATGAACAGGGTGTCCATTAGTTGATGGTACACATTGAAATTGCATTCCTTGGGTGAAATTATTACGAGTTGGATACACAAGTTGATTATAACAAAGATACAAGGTCTTCAAGTAAATAATAATTTTCGATTTTTGTAATCAATTCATTTTTGAATCAATAGTCTCGCATAAACTCTTTTGATTATGGGTTTGTCGGAAGAACAATCAAAATCTTTTGATGATTTTGATATAGATTGTAGAGGGCACTGCACTCACTCTCTTTGTACATGACAACAACTGCAACATTTCTGACTCTTAGAGTAGATATCATTTTTCTGTCGAAAATGTCAACTTTGATAACATTTTTGCTCCGAGCATACAGGGTGTTAAAAAATAAGTGTCACAACGGGAAACTGTAGATTGCTCATGAAAAAAGAAACATTTTTTTCCCAGGGCGTCAAAAAATACAAAAAAATCTGTTTTTTGCTACTATCTCAGGAACCGTCTGAGCTACGGAGTTAAGCCTTCGTACACACTTCATCATCAATAATGACTACTTTTAGGGCTCTTGATCAATTTTCTTAGACATGTCAGTGAAGGATCGAGAATTCAACGCCTCGTAAGGGTTTAACCCCCCAAACATTTATGCCACTGGAGAAATTGTAATTTTCAAAGTGGATTCTGAAGCGCCAATATCTTTCACACAAAAAACGTCCTCATGTCTCAATGCTCTAAAGTGAACAGTTTTCGCGAAAAATGGCTCTTTATGAATAAGAACATACAAAATCCTGATGGTATCTCCAAAAATCGTCTGAAAATCCAGAGGAAATAAACACCCCAGAACTGTCTGATAATATGTTCAATCAAATGTCAGGTTCTTGAGTATGTTGGTCTCGATGCTTGTTTTTAAATTGTTGAGTTTATCAAGTGTTGAAAAGTGTGTTTAATTGAACTAATCATTTTTGATTTTTTGGCGCCCTGTATCTTGAAGACGAAAGTCCAGAGAAACATTTTGAAGGGGGAAGAAATGTTTTTTTTTATCATGAGGAATCCACAGTTTTCCGTTGTGACACTTATTTGATAACACCTTGTATAAATATTTTTCAGTTTCTAATTGCATTCACAGTTTTTGAAGTAGACGGACAATTTGCGAATGTTGAATATATTCCAAAGTAGGCTTATGTTAAATATTTCAAAGTAGGCTTTAATGAAATCAAATGAACTAGCACTTCGAAACCCAATTTCTGTCAAACTTTCCTGTGATATGTCAGTATTGTGAGTGTTTTCTACATGTATCTTGGTAAGGTGAATTATCAAGTTTGGAACTGAAGTGTGTCCAAGTCGTAATATTTTCAGCCATTAATTATGGAACACCCTGTATATTTTTGATTTCTAGGTTCCACTGAATGGACTTCGGGGATGTATTTGAGAGGGTCAATCACCCCTTACTCCCATATGGTCACGACGTCTATGGATGAGCAGTATGAGCACATCCAATTGTTTATGATTGCGATTGTGGATCGTGACAGCTTTACAGAATAGCCATTTTCAATTCGGCCTTTTTGAATTATGGGGCGAAAGAGTTTTCCAGATTCAGTCATTGAAATTGTTCGATGCTTCTAATGCTAGTAGGGCGTAATGAATTGCGCAGAATATTGGGAAGTTCACCTTGAATGCACATGAAATTGTTGTGAAAATCAAGGTTTTTATGATGTGAAGAATTAAGTCATGGAAAGAAACTCAGCCTCAGCAAACCAGAGCTAAAGCTTATCACAGGACACGGCCCTCTGAGGTACCACCTCAAGAAGATGGGCCTGGCGGAGACTGACACTTGCCGCTTTTGTAACAATGTGACCGAAACCGCGGAACACATACTTTCCTCATGTGAATTATCAGTCCGCCAAAGGCTGAACCACCTAGGACAGGTCTATCTCACCCCTGCTGAAGTGGAAAATTCAACCGTCAGGAAAATCGTAGGCTTCATCAGGACCAAAACTAGATAGGGGTAATCACAATAGATCTTCTAGGTCGCAGTGAACGAAAGGTCTCCCAGCCTATACGACCCATCTACAGTCTACAATCTACAAGTCATGGAAACCATCCATTCTCGAAGTGATGGTCCAGTATTTTTCAACAGGAGAAAAAAAAACGAACTCAAAGTCGGTCGACCACAATATTTAATATAAAAAAGATCAGCGTGTGACTATAGTTTTCACAACTTCAGACACAATGAGAATAGTACCTAGAAAATTACAAGTAGTATAGATATAAAAAAAATTTAAGCTGAGAAAGAGTCGACATACCTCTTATATAGAAAGCATCTTTACAATATAAAAAATAAATTATCCGGTCGTTATAACAAAGGATCAATCCAGCCCCGCATTCAACAAAATTTGTAACGGCTAAAAAGCCAAAAGAATTTGAATATAAGTAAGTTCAGCATCGGGAAAAGATGGAAAAAATAATTTTTGGAAATCCACTCAATTGAGCTTCATCTAACTGCGCTCAATTGAGTAGATTCTATACTACTTGTAATTTTCTAGGTACTTTTTTCATTCTTTCTGAAGATGGCCGTAGAGCCGAAACTACAGTCACACGCTGATTAATTCTACATTGAATATTGTGGACGACCAACTTTGAGTTCATTTTCTTCTTCTGTTGATGTAAAGAATTGAAGAAGAGCGGATCAAGTTTCCAGACAATTATTACAAAACAATCTTCTCAACTGTTGGCAGAGATTATACACTCTTCAGTCTTGTAGTCATTTACCATAGAGTTCAAATTTTTTCCTTCTGTTTAGATGAGTTGTATTCCATAACAATTTTCAAATGAATAATATTATAATATGTATGTAACTTAGTTTCAGTCGACTCGAGTACTAATATTATGCATATCAAGCTTTCACTGAAATCTCTCAGAGTGATGTGATACCTATATAAACTGATGCAGATTATCAGTTGTTGTCACTTTCACACTCGTGTACTCGTGATTCAATAATTAATCAACAAGAATGGACTTCACTGTGAGTATAATATTTTTTCTATTGGTCATCATGATTTATGTTATATCATAAGCATGATCCGAAATTTTTTGCAGTTGTCCGTTCATTCATTTGATACTCAAATTTTGAGTAATGAGATCTGTTTTTTTGAAAATTTAATTTCGAAATAATATAACCCCTTCTCGACATGCATATTCAATCGTCAATTTTGTTTTATAGTCAAAATATCCTGAGATCTCATCATGAAATTCACAAAACCTACATCAAATGGCATTAATATACTGATATGATTGTTATGTATCATGACTAGTGAAACAACGTTCTTTTTTCTGCAACCGACACAAAAGTCGTCCATTTTGATACCAAAATTAGCTCTTAAATTGACGTTTCTATTACTGACACAAAAATAGATATGTTGCTAGGCAACATATTATTTAGTTCCTAGGAGCTAAAGTTGAATTTTAGTTCCTAGGAGCTGAAGTTGAACTTTAGCTCCTAGGAACTAAAAAGAATGTACTGGACGTCATCAAGAATAAACAACATTGTGACGGTTGGTTATTTGGGTTGAGACGCATACCTGATTTGTTTCCGATTTCAGCAGATTTGGCATTTCATACCCATGCTGGAGATATAAATACACCTTATTATAGTTTAGTATTGGAATTATAAACATCTCAGTTGAGTATTTCTGTTTTGATCAGGGAAGCCTTCAAGATTCAAATCTGTATTTCATTCATTATTCTAGGGATGGATAACTTGTTTTTGAATAATCACGGCAAGCAATAGTTTTTTTGTCTCAAACAACGATATTGTTTAGCTTCATTTAATCAACAATTCAAACACAGTGTAGTATGTAGAGGAATAAATAATCACTATTATCATTGTTGATATGCTCACTAACCTAACATTTTCCACGTCTTGTTCCTATAGCTGGCACTGGCGCGGTATTTGCCATTAGAGCACCTGGTCCATACACAAATATGTCACTCTGTGGTCGTATTCATATTGAAACTACAATACGAACATTCTTGAAAACCTAACCTGCTGTTAATGCAGGTAGAATATTCTCACCACACGGATTATTTGTCAATATTTGTTGCATTGCATACATATGGCACGGCATTGGTGGTTACTTCACATGTTTATTTGAGTTAATTGTTTCGGTTGCAAAAAAATAGCATGTTTTATTCGGATCAAAAGTGACTTTGTTCGACTCGCAACTTTTGCTCGGCTTCGCTAAACGCTCCGCCTCGCAAATGCAAAATTCGCTTGTCAAACAAAGTGTCACTTTTGATCCTAATAAAACAATCTACTATTTTTCTATTGGTCATCATGATGTGTGTTATATCATAAACATGATCCGAATTTTTTTGCAGTTGTCCGTTCATCCATTTGATACTCAAATTTTAAATAGTGAGATCTGTTTTTTTGAAAATTCAATTTCGAAATGATATAACCCCTTCTCGATATGCATATTCAATCGTCAATTTCGTTTTATAGTCAAAATATCCTGAAATCTTATCATGAAATTCACAAAACCTACATCAAATGGCATTAATATACTGATATGTTTGTTATGTATCATGATTAGTGAAACAACATTCTTTTCTCAAAACGGCACAGAAAGTGGCATTTTAGAAAATTAGCAGACAATAAAGTTGTACTTTCTCTGCCTAGGCAGTAAAAGTTTGTTGCTATGCAACGTTACGCTCCAAGTATTTTGAATGAAATTACACAAAATTTGTTTCATAACATTTGGAGAAGAAATAATATGTTTCACATGGCAGCAACGTAGATTGACTGCGTTAGCTGAATTCCTAGACTCTCTACTACTTTGCTGCCTAGTAAAACAATAGTTATTTGTTTTACTAGGCAGAAAAGTACAAGATTCAATGCCGCGGCTGGAGTTTCATAGCCTAGGCGTAGCCGAGGCTAGGAAACCAGCCATCTTCTTTTCTGCCATGTGAAACATATAATTTTTTCACCGAATTCTTTTCAATTCCACGCAAAGTCCAAATAATCATCATTTTTTGTTCACCCAAAGTCATTGTCGATTTTGATTACCAATTTTATTCAAATTACTTGGAACTTTTTCTGCCTAGGCAGTGAAAGTACACCTTTTCTGCCTGTCAAGTGTCATTAAAAATCCACTTTTAATGTCATTTGCAGCAAAATAACTATTCTCTATTTAGAAGTTGCTTTCAAATGACACTCAACAGGCATAAAAACTAGGAAGAAAAAGTTTGTGGCTATGCTACTTTCCAAAAGTAATGATTTGAATCAAATCAGTAATCAAAATTGACAATGACATTGGGTGAACATAAAATGTATGATAGATTATTTGAACTTTAGCGTGAAATTATATGCACTAGGCAAAAAAGAAGAGTCAATGCCTTAGCTGGTTTCCTAACCTCGGTTTCGCCATGGCTATAAAACGCCAGCAGCGGCATGAAATCTTGTGCTTTTCTGCCTATGGTTAAACTGATAGTTGTTGTTCTATAGCTAATCAATTCATTTTTTTTATAACAGGGCATTGGGATTCTTATAGTAGTCACCTTAGAAACTACCTACGCTGGATACGCGCGTCACATTTTCAACGAAAATAATAAGAATCAAGAACCAAGTTTACAAAAAGAGGTCAGCTTCCTGGAAGGCAGTGATTTCAAAAAACTACAGTTATTCCGGAATAATGAGCCAATGATTCACAAAAATAATAAAAAAGCATTGAAATACACAATGGCTTATTTCAAAGGTAGTGTAGATGGGCTGAAAGGCAATTATCCGATAGAGCCATATAATGATGACCAAGGTAATCAAAAGAACCAGATGTACCAAAACACCGAGCAAAATTATGAACTCATACCCTCGACATTGATGAACAAGAAGAGCTCTGAAACAACAGTTGACTACAAATACAATGCGAACCAGAGATCTGAGTTCCAAAGCATCGGACCACCAGTGGATTCCTACAATATAAATCCTAATTCTCAGAGAATTGAAGTGCTCCAAACACCCGATTTTATCCCCAAGAAGACACTAGGAGACTATACCAAACCATTGGATGGAAACCAGTATAACCAGGGAGCTTACTGGCTCCCAAGTAACCAACCATCAGACACATACGTGCAAAGTTTTCGGGAAACCATGGATGATGCATCGCAGAATGATAATTGGTACCAAAACCCACAAGCCTTGGTGAGACTTATGGAACAAATGAAAACCGACAACTCTGGACATCAAGACGATTACATATCCACGAAACTATTCAGGCAGACCGAGTCCAAGAAAGAAGAAGATTCGAGCGTTCTGGAGAACTCCGGTACCGAATACGATCAGTTCAAGAGCTCCAAGCCCAAGTACGACCAGGAGCCAAAGTACGACCAGGAGCCCAAGGACTACCAGGAGCCCAAGTACTACCAGGAGCACACGAAAACCATCGAACATACCAAGCCGTACCATATACAGGTGGTGAAGAAAACCGGGGTACCCGAACCGCACCTCGTCAAAATCGCGGTACCGCAGGTCATCAAACTGAAGGCGCCTGCTCCTTACGCGGTGCACGTTCCAGTGCCGGTACCGGTGGCGGTACCCATCTACAAGCTGGTGCCACAGGTGGTGGAGAAGAGGATCCCCATCGAGGTGGAGAAGCTGGTGCCCATGTACGTGGATAAGCCCTATAATGTCACCATGGAGAAGCACTATCCGGTGTATGTGGACAGGCCCTACCCTGTTAATGTGACCATTTATAAGCACGTTTATAGGAAAAACAAGCATTCATATAGTGGATTTGTCAAGGAGCATCATCCTCATCGCTATCGGCATTGGGACTGATGACTGCTCTCCTAACTCAGGGATGCTGTTGTTTTTATTTAAGTTTATTTTTTAATAAAATTTATTTAACTTTGTTGCATCTTTAATTCGGTGATTAAGGAATATGTTTGTATCAAATTTGTTCCAACCTTCTCAGTATCAAGTCAAACCTCATTCTGTTCAGAACTTTGTTAGCGGAGACCGAAACCAAAATCAGCTGCTCGAGTAATTTTGTAATGGTGATAGATGAGTTGAGGTGTCTGGGCCTTGAACAACTGTACCTATCAACAGCTTCAAATATTTGAACATCTTGATTTCCAAGTTCATTCAAACTTAATGAGAGCTAGCTGAGCAGGATTCTATCGACCTCAGTCCAGAATTGCCCGGATCCAAAAGTATGTTCCGGTCTTGTCTTGATGAGTATGCTGAAAATGCTTTAGTTTGTCTTGTGCATTACTCGGAGATCCCCAAACATTTCCTTTTCGTGGGAACCAGAACATATAGAAAAAAAGAAAGTAGGATTTCATTCCAGACTCGGAGATCCCCAAACATTTTGATAAGCCAAAAATGTCATTGATTCTTCTTTTACACTGAGTCCCAAAACTCATTTAGACTCAAGGATAGGGCAAAAGAGTTGAAGCTCTCAAGTTATCGTGACTGTCAGAAAACATGTCCATGTTGAAATATGGTGAAACCTTAGCCGTAGCACTTGATATCTCCAAGGCATTCGATCGAGTCTGGCACCACGGACTCCTCGCCAAGCTTTCATCTTATGGCTTGCCTCCCCAGCTATGTTCTCTGCTAGCTAGTTTTCTCTCGAACAGGTCTCTCTATGCAGTGGTCGACGGAGTTTCATCTGACTCTCTCATCATAAATGCTGGTGTTCCACAAGGATCAATTCTAGCACCAACACTATTTCTACTCCATAACAACGATTTGTTGGAAGCAACTTCATGTCCAGTACACAGCTTCGCGGATGATAGTACCCTCCATACCGCCTTGTCTTCCAGGGCTGCAATACCAGCCAGGCAAATCAGAAACAAACGAGGAGTACATATTGACAACATAAATATGGACCTTGCAACAATTCCCGAATGGGGATCCAATAACTAGAATTCAATGCAAACAAAGCACAAACACGCCTTTCCTCTAGAAAACTGATCTCACTGTGCCCAACATAAGCTTTTCAGGAGTAACCATACCTTTGAAGACATCCATTTCGATGCTCGGTATTACTATCAGCAATAACCTTTCTTGGGCAAATAACGTGAGATCAATTGCTAAAAGTACATCCCAAAAACTTGGTTGTCTGTTTCGGGCCAGGATCTATTTTACTTCCAGTCAGCTGCTTATGATCTATGAGCCACAGATCCGACCTGTCCTGGAATACTGTTCACATATTTGGAGTGCAGCACCCAAACATACCCTGAAACTGTTGGATTCTGTCCAAAAAAGGGCAACTCGTCTAGTGGGTGATGCCTTGCTCACAATCTCACTCACTTCTCTAGAATACCGTAGAAAAGTTGGCGATCTGGCTCTATTTTATAGATATTTTCATGGACGATGTTCTTCTGAAATATCAACAATTGTTCCTCCCTTGGCAGTTCCCGCGAGATTAACCCGTCAAGTTGAGGCTTCGCACCCCTTCGTGGTCATTATTTTGGAGACCTGCAGAACATCTCTCTCCAAAGACTCGTTCATCCAACGAACAGCGAGGCTCTGGAACACATTGCCAAGGGAGGTGTTCCCCGAGGCATATAACCGCCAGAAATGTAAGGAGAACACCAATTTCTACCTTATTTCCCTTGGTTCTTATGATGTTGTCTGAACTTCACAGGATATCCCTTTTCGTGGGAACCAGAACATATAAAAAAAATAAAGTAGGATTTCATTCCAGACTCGGAGATCCCCAATCATTTTGATGAGCCAAAAATGTCATTGCTTCTTCTTTTACATTGAGTCCCAAACTCATTTAGACTCAAGGATAGAGCAAATAGGTTGAAGCTCTCAAGTTATCGTGACTGTCAGAAAACATGTCCATGTTTTCGAAGGATCTGGGAGTATTGAGAATTGAAAATCCAGCAATCCCTCAGTTTCCATCTTGGAGTCACCAGTTTTCAATATTGAGGCTTCCATTATTAGCAATGGTGATCCAACCACTATTTTCTGATCTGATCTTCTGGTATCTCAGGCCACAAAAAGTATAAGAATGAAGGCTTGAATTCAAGAAGCGTTTTGGATTGGTTATTTGTCCATTGATTCGTATAGAGAATTCATGCAAGAAATTAGTATTCCCAGTTCCATTCCGCAATCTTGGCATGTCTTCACTCGTCAGAGCAGCAGAAGCAATTGTTCATTCGCTTGCCCCTCAATTGTCAAATTACAAAGTTCGAATTCTTCGGGTGGAAATGCTGGCACACTAGCCGGCAATCTCCTATGTCGTTTCTGGTTCCCGAACAAACTTTCCGTAATGGCAATGGCCACACAAAAAGCCACTGTCAGCAATGCAAACGTGCCGTATTCGGCGAAATAATGTGAAGTATTCGCATTCGGGATTCGTTGAATCTTCTTCATTTCGACAGGGTCGTTCCCGAACGATTTTCATCAGGTCCAAACAGAAGAACGACGTTTCAGTGTGGATCTCACAGTACAGTTATTTATTTCATGAAAATCGAACGATTTTAACTGACTTCTTTATGTATAGATATCGAATTATTTACCGTATAAAAAACAATATGTCACCGTGAATAATAAAAATTCTGAGATGAAGGATATTGATCTTGGTGTGCCGCAAGGCTCGGTTTTGGGACCGGTATTGTTTATCCTTTTCATCAATTATCTGAGTATTTTATCAGTACCGGCAGATTGCACGAATGGTATTCTGCAAATCAGCTGTTTCTGAATGTTGGAAAAACACAATCGATAAGGTTTCAAAACCGTCAAAAATTGTGTCAGGATATCACATTCGGCCCAGATGAGGCTTCAACGCTTTATGTCTCAAGTAATAGTAACGTTATAACGTTTCTAGGATTTCAAATTGATTCATGTATGGACTGGAAAATTCACTGTCAATAACTGATATAAAAAATGAATTCATTATCATATCAATTCAGAACCACTAGGAAAGTATTGGAAATAAATCAGCTACTTGCACTCTATTATGCACAAGCTGACAGTAGATTGCGATATGGTATATGCCTATGGGGTTTACCTGTATCCTCAAACGATGTTTTTATTTCCCATAAGCGAGTTTTGCGTTCTCTCGTTGGTATATCGACCCGTACAAGTTGCAGGGATGTCTTCAAACACTATAAAATTTCAACACTACCTTCATTATTTATTTTCGAACATTCTGTATACTCATTTGAGAACAGAGAAACTTTATTCAGTTCCAATAAAGTCAGACATCAATTTGATACCCGAACCAAAAATGACCTTCATGTACCTTTTAATAAATTTAGCATATCATTCAACTCTCCTTCCTCTATGGCGCCCAGGGTATTTAATAAATTGCCAACATATATAAAAGAAAGTAAATGTATTGAACTATTCAAGAAACAATTGCGAGAATTTCTACTAGAAAAATGTCTGTATAGTGTTGAAGAGTTTATGTCGTAGAACCGTAGCGTCTTGTCTGTATAAGCTTTTATTCTGACATGTTGGCATGTTTGTTTTAAAATATTTTCAGGACAATTCTTATCGGGACTGACATTTTTGATTTCAAACCTGTGGTTTCAGATTTTTGATTTTGTCTGAAATTTTAAATTTCTCGTGTTTTTATATTTACCTAGATTTAAGTTATTGACTATTCCTATACAATGTTGTGTTGTCTACTGGAAAATAAAGATCTTATCTTATCTTATCAATTCGAAACAATCGAAAGGATATAAGGATAGAGGCAGCCCACCTGTCTAGTTCTATAAAACATGGATATGTAGATCATCGGAATTTTCGGAAGAACTCATGAAGATATTCAAATAGAGGGTTTGATTATCGCCCATGTAATAACAAACACAGATACGGGCTTAAAGAAAAAAAAATAACTTTACTGATTTTACATCGACAAATGTTTTTCTGAGCTGAAAGCTCTGAGGTCTTACAATTTCGGGTCAAAATCATTCTGGAAAGACAAAAGAACTGAAAGAAAAGCCATGACACCATCCTTCGGACAAGAAACCTATTGAAAAAAATGCTTCGATCAAAAACAAGGTGAAGCATTTACAGCATACTCATCAAAGAAGGTAAACATGGTTCTAGATCTAACCGAACTCTGGTACTGTGAGAAGATGAAATGTGCTGATTTTGCAATTTCTGTGAACAAAAATATCGAGCTCTTATACAATGTGGATGGAGTGTTCTGATTACTCAAAGACTTGGAATAAGTGACCCTTTATAATAACACCGGAACCAACTAGCTCGCAGAACAATCTCAAACGAGCTGAAATATACTGGCCCCATTACAAACAGGTATAGGTTGCATTTCCAGTTGATGAAAATGAGATGAGATTTGAAGTAGAAAGAAATTAGATAAATACTAGTCGGCCTTACTGACATCAACCTGTATGTATAACAAACGAGCGAATCTCAGTCGCTCTTCGACATTGGACACTATTCCGCCATGTAGAACAAAATACCAAAGCAGAATGTATGCAACTAACTATATGTGATATATTTACATAAATACATTGTAAATGGAATAATACATGAGACATGGCTCCTGTAATTTATAACCCAATTCAGTGGTACTGGAGCCGAATCGAAATTCTATTCCAGACTAGAGATGGAAGCGGACGGGGTCGGAACAGGGACGGGCGTAAGGGTTTGGTCCTTGACTATCTCCAAATACTAGATAATTCATAGGAATTCAAGTACTGTATAGACAAGGTACGAAAAATACACTAACCAACAAAAAAACTGGCCAGGGAACAATTTTGCCAAATTGATTCCCGTGAAACTTCTTTAATGGGCGTGTACACCTTAGTAGAACTTTTAACTCAAACCATGTTTATAATGATCCTTGT